ATCATTTTCATAAGAAAGGGAGGTAGAGAGGAGGAAGGGAGCCATAAGTCCCTAAGGTATGCACCAAAGACAAACCTTTGCTTTCTCAATTATTTATGCCAGCTGAGGTTTTACAGGCTGAATAAATCCATAACTCAAGTTCATTCTGAGCAGTCAGATTCTCCAGGGGGAGTTGCCCACTTGCCTATACACACTTGTGTAGTCCTCAAAGAATAACCAGAATGTAACAAGACATATGTCATCCAATTTATCACCTATCACCAAGGTGTTAACACAATGTTGATCACAGGCAACATAGTGAAATAGGGAAGTATTACACTACCACCAGCCAAACAAATGGAGGGAAGCTTTTTGGTGCTTAAAGGCAGTGGTATCATTAGGATAGTGGTGTTCCAGAATGACTTGGCCTGTTAAACAAATAAAAATTTAAATATTCAATTTTTAAAAACACAAATATGTATAACACACTCTTGAAGCTTAAGAATCTTTAAGTAGATTTGTTAAAAACAGGCTGCAATCTAACAATGTGAAGCTTTGAATAAATAGAATTTTATAACATCTGATTTTAGAAGTAATTTACAATAAAACTATACATGTTACAGCTTTTTCTCCAATCATCTCTCTTTCAGGAAAATTTTAGAGTATAATTTATGTGTGACAGGCTTTTATGCTACTTCCAACCTAGTTCATATTTCACCAACAATACAAAATTAAAGCATAAAACAATCACTTTCATTCTAATTTTTATACTTACAGTCTTCCATTTATAATCAGGACTAGATAGCAGCCAATGAAAAGATATTTGGGAAATATTTTCAAAATCCATTACTGTTTAAAAATGGAAACTTTATAAGTTAATGATGAAAGCATCTCTTTGAAATTCTACAGGCTTTTGTGTCTGACCACAAGCAGCGACCTCTGGTATTTTCTGCCAAAACACTTCATTTGTCTCACAGAACAACTAATCAATTCCAGAGCCCATCAATCATTTCAGTTGTATACTAGGTCTGGTCTTGCTTAGAGAAGGTCCAGATGGCTGTCTGTGTAAGTGGAATTAATAAAATTCTAATAGATTACATGACATCAAACTACAAAATATAACAGGGAGGACCAAATCTTATTGCAGAGTGGTGTGGGTACTGTTCAATCTTCATTTACTATATTTTTAATTCTTGTCCTAATTTCTCAATTTATGTGCAAACTTCTAGATCAAACCTTTGAAGCATATAAGTAACCAAAAGCAATTTCTTGTATATGTAGTGAAGAATCATTTTACTCTACAAACCCCTATGCTTATTAACCAGTGCTTTTTCTGCCCATCTGCAGTATAAATGAAAAACACAGCTGATCTCAAAACTAGAGGTTACTCCCTGTTATAAGATTTGTTACTTTCTTGTTTCTATAGTTCTAAAAATATCGGCTCTTCCTTCCTTGTTTTCCATTTTCTTTTGCAAAAGCAAACAACTTGTATTTAATTATATAACCAGAATGCCATGTTATTTTAGCTCCTAACATCAGCTCCTTGCTCCTCTAGGGACCCCCTCTGCTGAGTAACAATACTATTTATAAAAGCTAAGTTACACAGTAACTTTTTTTGCACCAGATACTGTTCCAGGATGTCTGTGTATTGACATAATCTGCTAAGTATCAAGTGAGACAAGTACCATAATTATCCCCATTTTACAGGTAAGTAACTTGCCCAAGATCACACAGCTAGTAAGTGGTGGAACTAGCATTTGAATGTCAGCAGTTTGGCTCCATAACTTTTTGTACTTAATTAGAATACCCCTACACCCCCTCAATTATATTACAGAACAATTAACTAGCTTCAGAATGAGAAACTGATGTCAGAGCTCTGCGATATTAACACAGAGATCTGAACCTCTGACATTATATTGATACTTTCTATGACAGAGTGGAAAGCAGGAAGCAAGCTCAGAATTGGCCCCCATGGCCCTTGGCTCAAGAACATTTACCTTAAAACTAAAACTCATAACTCATCATCTATTATACAATACACATTCATCAGAAAAGCTGCCAAAACAATGGAACCCAAACTTAACCAAATGGATTTATTAGATACTGATTTGCCTGATCTTTACAAATGTAAAAAAAAATAAATAAATAAATAAATCTGGAGTTTATATATTAAAGTATCAAAACAAACCTTTAAAACACATTATTTTATGTCCTTTTTTAAAAACAACAGTTCCATAGAAAAGAATTTTTGCTTTCATCCAGGTCTACCATTTGATGCTTCTAAAACTCTAAAACCTACTGTCACTTTCACCTCAGTTAAACATAATTCTACCAAGAAATTGCAATTAACATCAATTAAAGCACAACTTTCTCTTAGAAAAATAAAACACACCAGATATATTTCACCAAAATACAAGCATAATTTGATTACATAACTTCAACAAATAACCCATTTTCACTGTTGCAATTGCATTCTGACATGTAAGAAACTATAGAGACTACATCTGGCTCTTCACTGGAATAATTCAACATTTCAGTATATAAGAATTTTCATGCCGGGCACAGCGCCTCATGCCTGTAATCCCAGCACTTTGGGAGGCCAAGGCGGATGGATCACGAGGTCAAGGGATCGAGACCATCCTGGCTAACACGGTGAAACTCCACCTCTACTAAAAATACAAAAATGAGCCGGAACTACAGGCGTGATGGTGCGTGCCTGTAGTCCCAGCTACTCAGGAGGCTGACATTGCAGTAAGCTGAGATCGTACCACTGCACTCCAGCCTAGTGACAGAGCAAGACACTATCTCCAAAAAAAAAAAAGAATTTTCATTATGGCCTAATTTGTTATAATGGAATTCTACCACACTATAAAAAGAACTCTCCCAATACAAGAATATGATTAGTTGCTGTAGTAACAAAATTACTGTGTTTGTAATAAATGGCTTTCAATGGCTTGTTCACATTCATGTTTCTTACTCTTTCTTAACATGTTAATATGTTCAGAATATGAAGATTTAGATGATATCATAAGACTGATACTTAATGAAGACTTCTTTAAAAAAAGGCCAAGTCTAACCAGTTTTGCCCACAAAGGTTCATATTTCATTCAATTAATATTTATTAAACATACTTTCATGAAAATGCCAAAAGTAGTATGAACATATTATTCAAAAGTGAAGAAGCTGAGAAGCACAAATATTCACAATGTTTTGTGTCATTACAGGTTCATAATAAATGTGTGTTGAATTAAAATCTCTACAAAAACAAACTATAATATTCTTTGTCATTGTTTATCATGGTCAAAATTCTAAATACTGATTTAAATCTAAGAATCGCTTCACTAGCAATTGGGTGGAGGATAAAGGAAGGAAGATTAACCCTTTCAACACAGTTTATCTCAGGATTTCCACTCTCACTACAACTGGAGTACATTTGATTTGCTTCATGTTCTGTAGGGCTGCTGTGATCAGTCATGTCATCAGACATTCGAAAAGACACTGTATTCAGTATGTCATTTTGAAAAATACTACAGTCTGGGAGCCCTTAAGGAAAACAGCATACAAAATAAAGATCATAATTTACAGAGAAGTGATTGATATTGTTAGAAACTTAAGCAGTGACTTTTTTTAAAAGAAAGAAAGTCAAGAAACTATCTCAATTTATTTATCTAACTAGGAAAGAAAAATAGCCTATACATTTTTTGTTGTTTAAGGGAAAGAGGTGAGGATGGGCATATCGCAGAAGAACCAAACTAGCAGCTCTCAGTTTTACAATAGGGCTCTTAGGCTAACTCTGCAGAAGCAAGTCACTAAACTATCAGTTCTTCAACAGAAGCAGCTGTGGCTACCTCCCAAGTTCTGAGCACTTTCACTGAAGATCTACTAAGTTTGGGGGACTTCCTCAGATAGTGAGAATGCAAAGATGGGTAAAATATGATCCTCACTATCAAAAACTAAGTTAAAAGTATTTCTAGGTATACAGTTCAGTAGTGTTAAGTATATTCACACTGTTGTGCAATCTCCATAACTTTTTCATCTTGTAAAACTGAAACTCTGTCCCCATTAAACAACTTCCCATTTCCCCTATCCCCTAGCTCCTGGCAACCACCATTTTACTGCCTCTCTCATTTTTGAATACTTTCTGTTTCTGTGAGTTTGACTACTTCAAATACTTCATGTAAGTATAATCGCAAAGTGTTTGTGTCCTTGTGACTTGTTTATTTCACTTAGCATAATGTCCTCAAAGTTCACACATGTTGCAACAGGTGTCAAAACTTCCTTTTTAAGGCTGAATAATATTCCATTGTATACACCACAATTCGTTTATCCATCCGTCAACAGATGCTTCCATCTATTGGCTACTGTATAGAATGCTGCTATGAACATGGGTGTGCAAATATGTCTTTGATATTCTGCTTTCTTTTGGATACATACCCAGAAGCAGAATTGGTGGATAATATGGTAATTCTATTTTAACTTTCCAAGGAAATTTCCGTTTTCCACAGTGGCTGTATCATTTTATACTCCAAAATGACTTCTAATTTAGAGCAAACTAAATTTTAATTAAACAAATTAAAAAATTAAAATCTTTAAAAGAAATAGTAGTATTTTAAGGAAAATTAACACAAAAATCCTTAGCTTTAGACTGAGATACAACATCTTGTCCCACCAACTACTTGTGTGGGGAAAAGTCACTGAATGAGACAGCTGTTATTAGACACTGATGAAAAGTAATTATTATCACTTATTCAGACACTTCTCTGGCACTGGTTCAGACATTTAATTGATTTTAAAGATTATACACCTAAAAAATTATTTCCTGTCATTTATTGTTCTGCTTGCAAATACCACCAAATCAGTTTCATGTTAAGAAGGAATGCTTCACAAATTGAAGTTCAGGATTAAAAACATGTAGTATGTATATACACATACATAAGCACATACATACACACACACACACACACACACACACACACAGAGGCATATATATTTCTATTATCAAAGATCAGAAGAGAAATTACCTGATGGTTTCTTCATGATATAGAGAACTAATAACTGGCCCACCAAAACCAGTATTTGCTTCTTTTCCTTTCTTCTCTGGTATCTGTGGGAAGGGGGAAAAAAGTGAAAAAAAGACAAATGGGTTAAAACAGTATGTATTTAAATCAGTTACAAAATGTTATTTTGCTAAGAAAGACTAAGGATTTTACCCTCAACCATCTCTTCAAACCCTAGTAAAAATTTTAAGGTGGTAACATAAAGGCAATAAGATTCTCAGTTCATCATAGGAGTGAAATGGGTACATGCTGGCAATCTAAGGTATTCAGTACAACCTTCTGGAGCCACCAAAAAACAATTCTCCTAGCTGACTGTGAGATGATGTTCAATGTGGTAAATATGGATATTCAGGTGAGGAAAAGAAAAACAAATCCCAGACATGAATGTGATCAGCAAAATCATATCTAGATTTATAAAATAAAAGTTCCCAAATAAGAAGCTACATTACAGTAAAAGTTCAAATTTAATTACAAAGAAAATGTTTTTAGATTAAAAAAAAAAAAGGAAGGAGATAGAAGAGGGATAGGAAAGGAGGTTTATATCTCAAATAAAAGAAAAAAGAAGTAAACTACACAGAAATACTTCCCAAACTCAAGGATTCAATAGGTCTTGCCCCTCTATGTTCTCAGAACAAGAGTAAAATTAATTTAGGAATAAGATTCTAATTTACAAGAGTAAAATTAATTTAGTAATAAGATTCTTCTAAAATATGTAATGTGGAAGCAATGAACCTGGATAATACTGTCTGCAAGGATGAAAGTGCAACCTCCGCAAAGCCCCATGTATTGACAGCTTTTAGTACAGGACATCCTGCAAAAGTCAAAACTCTGATTCCGGACATAAATATTCCTTTAGAATCAAAATTACATTATGATTTAATTTGACTGCAAAAAGACTAGTTTTACTTCAAATAAAATACAGACAATCCCCACACACATTTTTTCAGTACTTAAGAGAAGTACGAGTTTTGTTTTATTTTTTTTAATTGTTTGTTTCAGTCTGTGGATCACTGGACTGAGGAAAAAGACTCCCCCCGCCCCCAGAGATAGCATATTCTATCTGTTCCTAACACTACTGGGGGGACTAAGGCTTCAAAAAACGTAAAATTTTGAGGAGATGAATCAAGTCAGTTATCAACTTGTAATAGAAACAAAGTTATAAAATCATAGACAACAACTATTAACATGATTAAATGACAAAGTATATAAAGTGTATTAGTATGATGCTAGCAAACAAGAAGCACTAGGTAAATGACAGATTTCTCTGTGCTCTGAGGGCCATTTTTAGAGAATAAATGCTATGAAGATTTCTGGGATAGATAATGTATTTCTTTATACCCAAAAAAAGTAGAGATGATCCCCAACTTACAATGGTTCAATTTACAACATTTTTGACTTTTAATGGATTTATCAGTATGTATCCTCATTACAAGGTGAGGAACGTGTACAAAGGGAGAACTTATTTTACTTAATCCAATTATATTCCAAATACATGCTCCATTGATAGGATAAAACTAAAACATACTTGGTGCTCAAGATGATAACTACATAAATAAAACTAAAAATGAGAAAACTGGATACCAAAGGCAAAAAAAAATAGAGATAGAACCAAGTATGAAGTGGCAAGCATAGCTTCTTAAAAAATAATGACTCCTAGAAGGTAACATGGGGGAAAATCTAGGTGATATTGTTTGGCAATGACTTTTTACATGCAATACCAAAATCCGTGACAGGCCGGGTGCAGTGGCTCACACCTATAATCCCTGCACTTTGGGAGGCTGAGGCAGGTGGATCTCTTGAGGTCAGGAGTTTGAGACCAGCCTGGCCAACATGGCAAAACACTACCTCGACTAAAAATACAAAAAACTAGCCAGGCATGGTAGTGCATGCCTGTAGTACCAGCTACCTGGGAGGCTGAAGCACAAGAATTGCTTGCAGAAGTTGGATGCAGAAGAATTGTTTGCAGAAGTTGGATGCAGAAGATCACACCACTGCACTCCAGCCTGGCAATAGAGCAAGATTCTGTCTCAAAAAATATATATATATAATCCATGAGAGAAAAAAATGATTAGTAGGTCTTTATTAAATTGAATTAAAATTGAAAATTTCTGCTCTGTGAAAAATATTGTTCAGACAATGCAATGACTGGCCATAAACTGAAAAAAAATTTGCAAAACACATATCTAATAAAGAACTGGTATCCAAAATATTCAAAGAATTCTTAAAACTCAACACTAAGAAAATAAGTTACTCAATGAAAAGTGAGTAAAAGATCTAAATAGACAACTTATCAAAGAAGATACAGAGATAGGAAATAAGCGAGTGACAAGATGTTTAAACATCATGTCATTAAAGAAACGCAAATGAAAACAAAAATGAGAAACCACTACACACCTATTGGAACGGCTAAAATCCAATATGTCCTTAGACAGATTAATAAACAAATGATACACCCATAAAATAGGATATTATTCAGCAACACAAGAAATGAGCTATTCTAGGTTAACTTAGAAAAAAGAAGTCAGGTAACTCAGAAATGAAAGTGGAGATATTACAATTAATGCCACAGAAATACAAAGAATCTTAAGAGATAACTATGAACAATTATATGCCAAAAAACTGAACAACCTAGAAGAAATGAATAAATTTCTGGAAACATACAATCTACCATGACTGAATCACGAAGAAATTAAAAATCTGACAGACCTATCACCAAGAAAGAGACTCCATCAGTAATAAAAAAAAAAAAACTTCCCAACAAAGAAAAGCCCAGAACCAGATCACTTCACTGGAGAATTCTATCAAATTTAAAGAATTAACACCAATCCTCTTCAAACTTCAAAATAATTAAAGAAAAGGGAACACTTCTAACTCAATTTATGAGGCCTTATTCTCATATCAAAGCCAGAAATACTGCAAGAAAACTAAAACCAATATCTCAGGATATTGATCCAAAAAAATCAACTAAATATTAACAAACTGAATTTAACACTGTATTAAAAGGATTATACATCATGATCAAGTGGGATTTATTCCTGGAATGCAAAGATGGTTCAACACACAAAAATCAATCATATAACACAGCATATTAACACAATGAAGGACAAAACCCACATGATCATCTCAATTGATACAGAAAAAGCATCTGACAAAAGTCAACATGTGTTCATGATAAAAACACTAAATAAACTAGGAATAGAATAAAACTACCTTGACACAATAAAGGCCATATATGAAAAGGCCACAGCTACCAACATACTCAGTGGTGAAAAACTAAAAGCTTTCTCTCTAAGATCAGGAACAAGGCAAGGATATCCATTCTCATCACTTCTTTTCAAGATGGCATCCAAGCCAGAGTGATCAGACAAGAAATAAAAGGCATCTGTGGTGTTATGCTCTGTGTGTGTGTGTGTGTGTGTGTATACAGAGAGAGAAAGAGCGAGAGAGAGAGAGCACGCACACAAGAGAGATTTGTTTTTGTCCATGGTTCCTGACTTCTAACTCCTATAGCCCTTGTTACAGTCTTTCATTATATAGTTAGGTGTGTCAGGCCTCAAGAGCAAGCCTCAGAAAAGAGAATCTATGGGACTTTCTCCTGCCCTCCTTTTACCTGCCCCAAGTTACACTTTCTGATTGTGGGTCACAATCCCCAGAGAGAGTCCTACCCTATACCCTAGGGGAAGGAATATTGACATCATGAAACCCAAGAGGAATGGGTGCTGGGAACTTGGGGATAGAAGAACACATGGAGGTCCCTGGAGGGTGGCATGCCCAGAGAGAAGTCATGAAAGCTCCATGTTCCCTCCTCCATGCCTCACCCTACACATCTCCTTGTAATCCAATAATAAAATTCTAAGCCCTACAACCAACTGGATGAACCCCTCCTCTCAGCTAAGGTTTCTCCAAAGAAACCCGAAAACCTAGTTCAGGCCATGATGGGAAGTCAGGTCTGGACATGCCTCATTATACTTTCCTCCCTTTGGTATTCAGGAACAACTGACCAGCATTAACATTAAAACAAAGATCTTACAACTGACAAAAAAGACTCTTTGCATCAATAAGATATCAAATTCCAACCCGACTCCAGCATAGCATCACATGACAGAAAGCGGGCCCTGGATGAAATCAAAATATTTTACCCCAAAATATATTTGACATATTTTGAAAAGGCCCTGCAAAGCCATCTCTTAAAAGGGAAATTTTACATTATGTAAAGAATCCTCTTTCCTTTCCAGGCCATTTTCTGATCCTAAAGAGATGAGCTGAGAGATCTGAAGAATCTTTTAAAGATCTGAACAGGAAACAATTGTCATCTATTGCATCTAACAGTGGCCACCTATGAGACTTCATCTATATAGAAAGAACCTTGGTCTCCACAAACCCTTAACTCAGATATTCCTTTCTATTGATTCCAAGCTTTTAGATAATAACTTAACTCTCAACCAACTGCCAATCAGAAAATCTTTGAATCCACCTATGACCTACATATAAGTCCCTGCTTCGAGTTGTCCTGCCTTTCCAGACCAAACCAATGTATACCTCACATGTATTAATAAACCAAGAATAGAATAAAACTACCTCAACAGGCCATAGCTGCCACTGAGCCTGCCACCAATGCCTCTAAGCAGAAGGTGGTTGTGGCACCCACAAATGCCAATCTTGGCAAAACTGAAAGGGATGTCTTCACCAAGGTTTATGGATTTGGCTTAATAAAGCTTGATTTGAAAGCAAAATCTGAGAATGAAATGGAATTCACAAGCTCAGCCTCAGCCAACACTGAGACCACCAAAGTGATGGGCAGTCTGGAAACCAAGTACAGATGGACTGAGTACGGCCTGACGTTTATGGAGAAATGGAACACCAACAATACACTTGGCACCGAGATTACCGTGGAAGTTCAGCTTGCACATGGACTGAAGCTTACCTTCTATTCATCTTTCTCACCTAAGGCTAGGGAAAAAAAATGCTAAAATCAACACAGGGTACAAGTGGAAGCACATTAACCTGGGCTGCGACATGGATTTCGGCATTGCTTAGGCCTTCCATC